TTTTTTTTTTTTTTTTTTTTTTTTAATGAAAAGCCTAGATTCTCCAGCACTAAAACATTTCTTGTTTTGGTGTGCACAGAAATCTACTTACTCTCTCTTTTAATTTTTGAACAGCCCTGAAAAGAAATATAACAATGTATGCTCACTAAGTTGTTAAGAAGCTTTGTTGGTGCAACACTGGTACTCGCTCTTATATCTCAGAAAATTCCAGAAGCAAGTATTAAATTCTGCTCCTCAGCTGACCCAGTCAAGTCTGAAGTAAAACTGCTTTGGCTGAATTACTCATGCATCTACTTCTTTCAAGTAGAGTGATTCTTCTTGACTAAGATGTGAACAGGACACTGGCTAAAGAAAAAGGGAAGTAGGGTCAGTTTTTTGTTTTCTGAAACCAAAGTAACTTGCCTAAGTCTCTAAAGCAAATCGAAACACATTGTGGTTTCATGACATGCAGGTGTTTTCTCACCATGCTGATTTCCTGTGCAGACTGACCAGTGAAGAGCAACAGACTGCTATAACAAAGAGTGACTTTTCCTTTGCCTTCTTCTGACTTACTCTAAGCAACTAAAGCTTAGAAAAGTATTTTCAGAATAGAGGGCATTGTTTCTAAAACACAAACAAATGGCATTTCATTGCAATCAAACTTCTGTTCATAACAAAGCACAAATGAGACCATAAAAATGCAATGGATTGTTTCTCAGTAACAAATATCCTTCATGCTTCACATGAGGCAATGGTGGCTCCAATGCAATTTGTTCTACTGGTTCTCATTTTCAAGAGTTGTTACTCTCAYGAGAGGTGCTTAAACATTTCCTGAGAGCATGGGCACCCATGGGAGGGGACAGTCCTGATTTCAAAAGCCCTGGAACAGACCCAAACAGCTCAATCACTCTTCAGTGCAGGATTTAGGCAGAGTTCAGCTTTATAAGGTTGTATTGCATTTTGAAATATTTCCTTCTCCTAAACCCACATCTACATAACTCTGGAGCCTCTGAGGCTCACAGTCACGGAAAATTCTGTCAGGCAGCTCTATCACTGCACATCCTAAAAACACATCCATTCTAACACTTGTGATTAATCAGGGTCCAGAGGGAGCCTCGTACTCTTAGGTTATGGAGCAGGTGGGTTTTAAATGGTGGGCAGTCAACCCTAGCACGACGTAGATCCCTACAAAACACAAAACCAGGAGGTGCTACCATCTTTCCAAACATGTCTGAAGACCAGAAGTATCAAGTGCATTGACTTGACAGCCTAGGTCTTGGTTTTGGTAAACAGATCCCTTATGGAGTGACATGGATTGCCCTAAGCTGTGTTTCACAATTTCATTTTGGTTTTGWAGACTGTGGTAATGTCTGTCTAGGTTAGGCTAAGCCTCCAGAACTGCAGCTGGGTAACAGTACCCAGTTGGATGTCAACAGTTGCTGTAAAAAATACAAAGGAAAATGCTGTTCAAAATAAAAAAAAAAAATAAAAAATCAGTAAATGGAAATCAATTTGAATGGAAATGAATGTTTCACATCTTCTGTATAACCCAGGGCATTCACATCAGATTTGSGACCTTTCTTCATATATGGAACTTTCCTCCCATGAAAATTTTCAGAAGGTTGAAAAAAAAATTAAAAATTCTAAATGYACTCTCTGCTTTTAAGTGTTCTGAAATTAAGCACAGTGTTTACTGCTCTTCAATAGAATCTTGTAACAAAATAGGTATTCATTTTAAAAAGCTTTTTTTTTTTAAAATAAAAATCCCAAACTGAACATAACACCCCCCCCCCAATTTTGGCAAGGAAGGAAACCAAAGTGGTGAGATATCACTTGTTCTTCCATTTCATGCTATTGCAGAGAATCACAAATGTTTCATCTACTGAGATTAATCAGAAATATGAACAAATTCACTGAAAACAGATTTGACTAGATAGATACATTAGAGAAGTGCCAAGGTATCTAGATTTTTCATGACATAGATTTTTACAACACCAGACTAAGGAATGTAGAAATTCAAGTTGTTACCTGATGCAATGCRAAGGAAGTTTAGGTATTGATTTTATATTTCATGCAATTTGTGTTTGAATATTTTTTGAGGTTTTGGGACTGCAACGCAGATAGCAACTAATAACAATCTGGACCATCATTACAGAGGGTGTAAATAGCTATCCATTCCCTCCTTTGATATTTTCACTTGGAAGCAAAAAGAAAAAAGTCCCAACTTTTTCTGCTTTCATCTGAAAATCCAAATGATCCCTCTCTTTCTAAAGAAAAATATCCCTAAGGCTCAAAGAAATAAATGGCAATTACACCATGCCTCATTGATCGTGTTTTAAAATCAGGAGTCGCAGCATTCTGCWGTGGAGAATTATGAAGAAAATAAACGAGCAAAATGCTTGCTTTAGGAATGGTGCGAAGTTATCCTTGCTCCTGAATCCAAAGGCATGCTAAATTTTATCCTCAGCATTGCTTTGCCTTCTCAGCAATAGCAGCTTTGTTGATGCCAGAGATTTGACATTCCCCACTGCTGATGGATTTTCAGCCATTCCCTGCTTGTCTGCCCTCATGACCATCTCTCTGGCAATGCTATTAACAACATGGCTGCTCATTATCACCTCAAAGATTTGCTGCACAGGGCATATGTTTCAAGTTTGTAAGAAATGAACTTGGTGCCATCTGTAAAGAGATATATATATAGGGCAAAATGGATTGACTGTTGTCTTCATTTCTTCTCCCCTGTTCAGTAACACATTCAAAGCTGTTTCAGAAATGTCAGAACACTACAGAATTTAGGAGATATCGCAGCTTCACACTGCCGCTATCTACAACAGAACCTAAAAATTCATGTCCTGGTGAGTCTGCTGCACAGGTACAAAATACTTTCGTGAGAAGGATTGCATCACATTAGCTTATTTAGCTGACCTCACCCTGGCAACAAAACACACCATGCTCCACCAAACCCCTAACAAGCAGTTCTACTGTAGAACTGCACCAGCAACAGGGCATCTTCTTTGTACAGCTATCTCAGTCAGGGATCACAGTTTTGTTCACACCTCGGACCCGCTGCTGCTGAGGCACACTGCACAGCCTGTCTTGAGAAGCCACAGCCCTGCTGCACTGCTCTGCAAGGGGCACCTACCTGTCCCTAATAGAATGCCACTAAACAGCTCTCCCAAAGGGTCATGGGCATCATCCAGGCTGCTTTGGAGAGGGAGAGGGCACCTTCAGAAACACAATTTCTTGCCTCTATATCATTTATCTGGGAAAAAAATTATGGTCATCTACGACTAGCAAATCCTTGGCACTTTGAAGAGGAACTTCACCATTAATTAATATCCGTGAATTAAAGTCACATTTTATAGGATTGCTTTCATCTTCTATGTCAACAATATACAGTCCCTTTCATGGCTACAAAGCTAATACTGATAAAATGATTTGAAGAGTTCTCTACCAGGTCAGAAAAATGACCCAGCTCTGTATGCAGTCCAGTAGTGTCAAACTCCTAGAGGAAGGCAGTAAGATTAGTGTAAATATAGACTGCTACATGTACCAGAAACAGGATTTTTTGTCAGACAAGAAAACTCTTACAGACAACTGCACTTCAAACCTTATTATTYTGAAATACTGTCACTAATGTTAACTATTGTGATACATAAGAGACCATTTAGTTTCTAGATGTCATAGAATGCCATAATGAATATTACTGTAACTCATTATAATACTCTAAACTACTTCTGTTCTCTTTAATATTCTCATTACATACTGAAGACACTCATATGACACCAAAATAATTTTCTACTTTCTTTTCACACAACTGTTCATATTCCATATGAGCCACATACAACTATCAAAACATGCAAAAAATTTATATAGGCTAAACCGCTAATTTGCAGAATTTCCCTAATGCTGATTTTTTTAACAGTATTTCTGAATATTCTTTGTCTTCCTCCAACTTCAGAACTTTTTTTTTTTGAACACATATGCAAGATCACATTTGTATCACCTAAGTGGTCATTACCGGTGATAAGTCAAGATGTGCCAACACTCACCACATACCAGAGTTGTTTCCTATGTGAAACTACAGAGAAAACTAACTTTTCTGCTGTTTGCTCCTAGCAAAGCTATAATTTATTTTTCAACTGTTCCACACATGCTTGCACTYACATAGATAATATTAGCAATATTTTAAATATTTAATAATGCATCATTAATAAAYGATGCATTAATGATGCATTAATAAAAATACTGTCACAGTATTAATAGAAGTATTACCAATATTAATAGTTTGATCTATGYTCCCTACCAGGCAAAATGTAATAAATCTCAGAAGTTTGTTGAAAAAATCATCATCCAATATAAAACATAAAATAGTGATAATGAAGGTAAGTGRGGTTTCAGACACAAAGTTATTTTCCATTTCTCTTTATACAATTTTAGTTATTTTACTTCTATTCTATCACTATATTTTTTCTCTGAAGTTTGTGCCTAGAGTGGCAATCTAGAATAAATGTTTTTCGCAGAAGAGGTAGGTACTAGTTCCTATTTCATATAATTTCATTACAGAGTTTCTGTGTTTGGGTTTGAAAACAAAYTCTCTAACATCAAAATACATACTTCACTGACTTTTAAGCTATGATAAAAACTTTAAAAAGATCTTTGAAAATGCTCCAGTAAAACACTGTTAGCTCAGAATTTTTCCTTGGATGCATTGTAGCATTATCTCTATGATGCTATTAATGATATTTTGAGCTGCATTCAGGAAGATTTTCTACTACTTCCATATTAAATATATAAAAAAATAATTCTAGATTTGATAATCTTGTACGGCTGCAAAGCAGTGCTAAAAAAATCCAGATGATAGCTATATTATTACAAAGGCTACTGTACTGGATTTTGTTTCAAGTTAGGCAGGTCAGATGGATAGCAAATTTCTGGTGTAATGAAGTTTTGGAAGCCCTTGTTAAAAATATACAGAAAAAGTCTAGCCTTCTAATATTTACTATTTTCTCTGTGACAAACAATATTATTTTTGTCATATACAGGCATCCACTTGTGGACTTGTTAAATAATCTCTTCAAAAATCTAGCTCCTCTCTTTGTTCCCAGGTTCCAGTTCCTACCTCAACAAGTAAATAACTCTCAGATCTTGAGTATTTTAAAGTTTTACCTTTCAGTCAGCTAGTGGGCTTGAGTATCTTGACCAATGTAAGAAAAACAGTCCCTGAGTCACAAGCACAAATTCCAAGCCTTCAATCCACAGACGTGTAGAATATTCTGACAAATACTGCTGCTGTGTAAGAAAAACTATGTGATGCCTGTCCCTGAAATGTACAATCCWCTGCTCTCACACTCTGTAACAGTTTTGCTGCCACTGCTTCAGTTAGCCAGAAATTAGTGGTTTGTTTCTCAACACCAGCTGAGCAAGTCCATGTTAGCCAAACCACTGCAGAAAACAATGAACTTCTCCCAATTAAACAGTGCTTTTGTTCTTTGCAATGAGCCTCAGTCTATGGGTCTGAGAGCCAGAACAGCTCAGGAAGGTAAAATAATTTCTGGCACAAATGAACAACACATTATTTCTCTTTCTGCACCGTCTGCTGAATTGTGAGGCAGAAGAAGTTCTCTCCCTGTTTATTCCCTGAGACCATAAGAGCAAATGGCAGCTGAGTGGTTACTAAGGTCTAAAATGGCCAGACAGGAAGTCTATGCAATAACAATTAATACATCAGAATGCATTTTACAGATGTGAACAGTGATGTCCTTAATAAGAGGGACCCAAGCTAATCACACTAGCAGTTACATATTCATATTATTTATGCTGYAGTGGCACTTCTCATTGTTTAAACAAAGCCTTTAAACCTATTTTCTCCTCTATGGGTTTGTCCACCTGATATAAAAGCAGCAACATGAGTTCCGTCACAACAACATAAAATATGGATCCGTTGACATAATCAGTCCTGTAGGAGAAGATCTGAATGCTTCCCCACGACTCATTAAGCATGTCACTCCAAACTGCAGCAGAAATGCCTCCTAGGCCATCTCTAAGTAACACAGGAAAGAGCTGGGAAAATATTTCCAGTCAAAGCAGTAGGAACACTTATGGAAGATTTAAAAGGAACCAGTGTTTATGATAGAGGCTGAAAACATCAATTCTCCCAAAAAATGTCACTGCTTTACTCCAAAACCTATTCCTGTTATGAAGAAATATTAACAACTGGATCCTTTCCTCTGATGAAAAATCAGCTCCCTTATTTTTTTTTTCTCCCCCCCCACCCACCGCCTCCTCCCTTCCCCCCTTGCCTCAAAGAGAAATGCTTTGGCTACACAGAAACCACTCTGTGCCTGAGGCAAACTGGAAAACTGCCAGTTTTAATACATGATCAATGTCATGACTCAATTGATTTGGTAAGGTGTTAAAACAGAAAGCAATAATACCATGTATTTTTAGGTAAAAAAAAGGTCATTAAAGAAAGGATAGCTGTTTTTTTCAGATTATGTATCCAACAGACCTTATGTCTTAAATATCAGAAAATAAACTGTCAAAGTCACACGGCAAGGAGAAGGAGAGGATRTGTGGTAAAGCTGGGCTGTTAATCTACAAAGCAACTGTGTTCACCAAATCCTCTGAACTCCTATGCAACAGGAAGAAACCTATGGCGCCACAAATTTTTGTAACTTTTCTAACGCTTATTTTATTACAAGTTTAACAAAATCTGCATAAGATTTTTACAAGGTTTTGTTATACATGGCAACAAAAGCAACTGTGTAAATGACCCTCTGGATGCAAACCCCACCAATCGGAATACGATGTTGGAAACAGGGATGCATGGTGACTTGGGTGAGAGTGGYTATGAAACWCAAAAAATTCAAGAGCTGAGAGAAKAAAAGGGAGATCAAGAAACGAGATGTCACTACACTCAAAAGTATTTGCAGGTAAGACCTCATAGGAATACACTCTATTRGAAACAGGACTTAAAGGAGTTCCTGGTTCCTGACTGAATCATGGAAACATGCGAGGTTGCACCCACATAAGCATTCAGTACAGTACAATTATGTRTGTCAAATCAGTAAAGTGAAAGAGTTCGTACTGAAGAAGCATATTCTTCCTGCACTCGCTCATGGGGTTTCACTCTAAAGAAGCCAAAGAAGGTTGAATAGGTAGGTGATAAATTTTCCCTGAGAAATTATACAGGTCTAAGCAGTGCTTTCTTGGCCATGAATTTCAAGCTTAATTGTCTATCATTATATAAATAATTTCTGAGTGGGGGTATGGAAATGACAAAAGATTGGTTAGAACACCAAGATTTTTCAAATGAGGTTTCTTTTTTTTGTTAGAACGTTTTGTCTGGGTCTAGTTCTCACAAGATGATGGCTGTCAGTCACTATATTTTTGCTGAGAAAACAAAAGATCATCAGGCTGGGCAAATGCAGAGAGTAAGCAGCAGACAARAAATAGTGGTGTCAAGGTAGAAGCAACTAATTCTGTAGCTTAACTACAAAACAAAGCACCACCGCTGTCCCCAAGAGACCTGACAGACACAGACCCCAYGCACTGCTGACACAAGGAGTTTGTCTATGATTGTACCAGTTCAATCAGTMTGTGTTTGGGTGCAGGTGGTGAAGCTTGGACAGCGGGGTTTCAAAGGCCAGGAGCCGCCCTGGGCTGGTTCCAGCAGCCCCCAAGTGGACACCCCTGTAGGTGTTCCATGCTTTTGGTGTAGCTTCCCATCTTCAGCTAAGTGAGGGACTTGCTTCGGGCAGGAAGGATCACGTCATGTAAATCATGCCTTGTGTTCCCTCACTGTGGATGAGCCACCTTTTAGGGCATAYTCTCATTTGAGATTTATTCAAAGGWACTGCGCAGTGACACCGGAGGCAAACAGCAATACCACAGACTAATGCACTCACAGAAAYGTTCCATTGTTCCTCGATCCAATGAGGATACGGTGCTCTGACTCCTCCCGAGAGATCCTCCCATGGAACCACGGCATCTTCTCGTGGGCTGTAGTGGCAATCAGCTTCTCCAGTTGAGGCTTCTGACTAATGATGGCTTGTTCAAGAGCGTGCCCCTAGAGAGCAGTAAAAACATGGTGGAACTGTCAAACTATCTTCTGCAATAGAAACATGACAGGTAGACTCACACTCTTTTGGGACATCCAAAATCTGCACATATTTGTTGCATGTGAAGAAAAGGCCTAGTTGCTATAAAAATTTTGAATCAGAGGCCAGCATATGGTAATGTAAACACCACAAAACCAGGGTTCTCCCTTCACCTCTGAGAAAAAGAAGGAAAATTAACCAGTAAATGAAACCACTGATACATCAGGATTTAAACTTAAAATAAAGTCATATTATTATGCTAATGAGACATAGCTAAATAGAGTGTCAGTCTGAGACTTCAAACATACCTCCAAATTACATATCCTCTGGCAGTGTACTGAAATAAACTGAACATGCTTTGCACTGTTGCAGTATGTCTATGTCAAAGACATCAATGCAAATTTTCCCAGACAGAACATTCCCCATTTTAGAGTGAATTATTTAGAGTAATATTAATCTAGACACTTCTAACCTTATCTACAACCTACCATTTCTAAATTGGGCTCAGAATCTGAGGGCAACCCCCACTAGTTTAAACAGTTTTTAGCTACAGCTCATCAGTTTCTGTCTAGATTGAGTTCAGATTCATCAGAAAAGATACTGTGAGCCTCAGCAGCTATGGAAAATGTAGTATAAATTTAAGGCTTTCCCAGTTTGGAGATTGCTCCACATATTTTAGAGAGCAGAATTCATAGGGTTAATTGCTAGCAGCAAAAGAGATTAAAAACCTTGTGCAACTCCATGAGTTACCTCCATAAAGGTAATTCATGGCATCTCAAGGTGAAATAACATTTCTTTTGCAGCCTCCTACACTAGTGTTTCCAAGTTAAGACTTGTTTCCAAGTTAAGGCTTTTTCATAGTCATTCTCAGGAAAGAATCCAGTCTCTTTTCTTGCATATGAAAAATTCCTGCTTTACCCATGCAGATGTACAGGCAGTGCTCTGCACAGTAGAAATTGTTGTTTCAGGAATAAATTCTRTTTTGGACATAATCTAAATTAGCAACACAGAAACAAGGCCAGCTAAAAGGAAGACATAAAACAAGTCATCATGTCACCAATCCTGCCTGCATATCAATCCATAAAAAGAATCAGAATTAAAAGCAATGAGACAAAACATTTCTCTGTCATGTTCATTACCTCTATTAATTTTTGGTCCAAATCTGATTACATACGCTAGTGCAGTGCTAGACAAGATTATTGTGCCAGCCCAAGACATTATTGAAATTCTAAGGTTTTTAAATTTCAGGTAAACGACACTTATGGCCAAGTTAGTGAATGTACTGGAAAGAAGAAACCCCGCACTGTTAAAACTCAAACTATTATTTCATTGTGAAAAAGTACTACGTAGCAGTAGCTGGAAACAAACACTGCAATCTCATTTTCTGCTAGCTCAAAAACTACTTCATGGCAAGATCAGTCTGATTTTACCTGCAAATTCCAAGTTTGCTTGACATACTCTCTGATGAGGTTCTCTTTCAAATCTTCAAAAGGTCCTGTTTTGGGTTCAACGCCTGGTGGTCGGTTGAAAGGTTTTCTCAGCAGACAGATAAGGCCATCCGCTTCCTCTGAGTGATATTTAATGAGTTCAGCAGGACTGGCATGCGACTTGCCTCCCGCAATAGCATAGGAGCCACTCAGCTCCCTCTCAATTGTATAGTGATGAACCTTCCTTCCATGGGCCAAGGATAAGGCAAAGCCCCCCAGGTAATTTCGGCTTTGGCGGAGCAARTAGAGTCCATCACTTGCTCCTCCTTGCATCAGATACTCCTCGGCATCTTCACGYGTGATATTACCGAAGAAATATGGCAAGTGGTTAGCAGGGTTTGATGTGCCGGAAGCCATGGCTTTTCTTTTCCAAGCAGCAAAGCTGGAATACTGTGTATAAAAACAAAAAACCAGAAATATGAATGGGGGTAGAAAACAGAGAATAAACCAGTCAGATGGCAGTTCACCTGCAGTATGTTCACAGAACCACAGAACCATTCAGGCTGGAAAAGACCTCTAAGAACATCAAGTCCACACTTCAACCAGTCACCACCTTCTCAACAAGACCATGGCCCTGTCCAGTTGTTCCTTGAACATCTCCAGGGATGATGACTCCATCACCTCCCTGGGCAGAGCATTCCAACGTTTAACAACCCTTTCTGTGAAGAAATTCCTCCTGATGTCCAACCTGAACCTCCCCTGGYGCAGCTTGAGGCTATTTTGGTAATAAATTTGTTCATGATTCATATATTGAAAATTTAAACAAAAAGCCAAAACTTTAAAATGATGATTGAATTTTTATTTTTATCATGTTAGACATTTTCTATATCYCATCAGCTCTCTTTTCCCACTTCCCATCACCTTGGCTGGAAGTGGACAAAAGATCTTCTGGTCTTCTCCCACCTTTCCACACACAGGAGACACCAAAGTTGCAAAGACATTGCAACCTTACAAAACAGAGCTTTGTGCAGCACGTTGTTACTCTTGTGATCCATAACTAAAAGTTACTGGTTTAAGTTCCCACACTAATCTAGTAACATAACTTTCACTTGCTAATTAAAATAAAGTTGTAACCAAATAGAGAGAAGGCAATCCTCAGTAAATCACCACCAAACATTGATTCTTCATAAAATACTATGCAAAATGACCATTCTGACTGCACCAGGCAAAGCTTTCCCCAAATGGAATAGATTCATTCAGTAACTTAATGCAGGGCCAGAGGATTGCAATCAATAGTACAAGGGCCTTTGGGAGGCCAGTTAATAGTGTCAAAACCCAGGGTCAGGACTGGAATCAATATTATTTACGATTTTCATTGAGGTGGTGGACAGCGGGGAGWGTGCAGCCCCAGCTAGTTCACAAATAATACAAAACAGGGAGCAGTGGCTAAAACATCACTCAGTTGTGATGTTATTTAACAGGACCTGGAAAGGCYACAGAATTGGAATGAAAGGAATTTAATGAAGATCAACAAGAGGGAACATACTATGAAGCAGACTTTGCCCCCGTTGGAGTACCTGACTTGCTGGCTGGGGGGCRTCTCACAGCCTTGCAATGTCACCATGGAAGGCTGTGACAGCCTGTGACATTGATGTTTGTCAGCAAGGTCTGTGCACCCGCACCACACTGTGCCAAGCTGGGGGTGACTGTGGGAGGGTGTGGGGGCTTAGGGCTGTGGGTGTACAGCTCTTGTCCCAGTGCCCTGACACCTTGCCAGAGCCTACAGTGCTGCTCACACATCTCAGCCCCAGCCCGTGGGAKGTGGGGAGGAGATCAGTACTCTCCTCCTGCTCTCCATCCCTGCCATCTTTACCTGCCCTCCTCCAGGGTGCAGAGATGGACACAGACCAGCAGAGCCCCACATCTCTCTGCCCTGACCCAGGGCTGCAGCTGCTGCTTTCAAGCCTTCATGAAGAGCCATCAGGAGGCTTTCCCATTGCCTCCCTTCTSCCACAGCCCTCTGATGCCTCCCTGACTTTTCTACTCCCAGCACAAGGCAAGATCCATCACTCTGSATGTCTCTCTTGGTAGGATGTGGCATCAGGCCCCTAGCAAGACGTGGGGGAAAACAACTCTGCTGCAAGGGACAGTGGCATGGGCCACACACCCCAGGCAGGGCTCGAATCAGTCTCTTTCTATGTGAGAGAATATGAGAGGAAAAGGCCTCAAGCAGTACTGGGGAGGTTAAGATTGGATACCAGCAAATATTTTTTCTCTGAGGATGTTACCAAAGATTGGAACCGACTGCACAGGGAAGAGGTTGAATTGCTATCCCTGAAGGGATTTAAAGACTTACAGACTGGTGGTAAGGGACATGGTTTTGTAGTGGATTGGGTAGTGTCAGGTTTACAGTTGGACCTGATCTTAACAATCTTTCCCAACTTAAATATTTCTATGACTCTTTGATTCTATTACTCTGAAAGGAAAATACCCCCACATCGTTCTCTTTTGCTCCACTGTGCACCACACATATAACTGCTGGTTAGGAGATGAACATGCATCATCCCACCTCTGGCAAAGCCGTCCTTGAAGGCAGGCTCCAAGTCCTCAATATCACATTCAGGGATGGTGGAAGAGAACAGATTTTCTGTTAGGGTTTTAGTAAGGAAAGAATTTGGGTGCATGAATGATCGACACTGGCTCTTCACCAGCACTGCACAACTTGAAGAAAAAGACAAAATAATCTCATAATATCAATATTCCCAATGCGAGAACTGCTCAATACACTCCAGTAATATATAGTGAACAAATATCAAACAGAAAAATACCACCACAYTCTTCATCTGTAGAAATTTATTTTCATGACTTTATTTAATTGAATTTCATTTTTGCCACACTTCTAGTTTCAGACTTAAAATAATGCTAGGACCTAAAAAAGAGTAAAAACTTTATAATGAAAATAACAGCTAATAAAATAAAAGTGGGGCATGGGACAGGGTTAGAAAGGATAAATTTATCTTCCCTGACTACAAAAAAATTTTATGACTACTTAAATTTAAATTCACTTTGACTACAATGTGTTTCAGATCAGGCTACTCCTCAGAGTATTGTTTTGTCTCAGATTAATCATATATTTTCTACACACTCTTCAGGATGATTTGCCCAGAAACAAGTTCCTAAAWGAGAGGGGGGAAAAAAATCCACTGGTTGCAATTTAGATGAAATGTCAGTGATGGTATTGGTGAGGGACTGTCTTTTAAATCTTCAGAATGTTAAATGGAGAAGTTCAAAGCTCAAATAAATGGAAAGCCCACTATGTAGCAAATTTTCAAAACACAAAGAATATATCTTACTTATGGAAAGAACAGCAGCAGGATTCTTATGATCTCTTAGATTTCACAAATGATTTATTTATAACTCTTTCAGAAAACAATGGCCTGATTTATTTTTGCTAAGTAGGTTACTGTTGGCAGATTTAAGGCAAACTTTCTCTACCCCATGTTCTAATATGTGAATAATATTCAGTGCTTAGCAATGGTAGGATATGTTTGGACTCTGCAGCATCTCCTGGTCACACACAGAGCCAAATAAACAACAAAACTTTGGATAATGGTTAAAAACTCTTAATTTTGGAAGAATTTCTGAATTTGAGATGGTTGTTCTCCTTGGCTGGAAATTCAAAATCTTGCCTTCTTTTGGGAGTGTAATACCTTCTAGGATCAGTAAAGGAGTAGGAGAAAATGTTTGAATTCACAGTTTTCCCACCTCTAAATCTTTCCAGGTAACAGAGCTCCATTTTTCCAGTCAGTGCAGTTACAAATATGAGGCTGTAAAATGGAGATCAGGCCCTGTAAGGGTTGGATGTGAGGTTTTATCCTTAAGGAAGTGAGGCTGGTTACCCAAGAGAGCTGCTTGAGCATAACAGCAAAAGGGGGTCTAAAGTGCAACTCTCCCATTAGTTGTTAAATTTGACTTTTAAGGAAACTACAAATGCATGCAAATATCAGGTTTAGCCTACAAGAAAGAAAAAAACATTACGCAAATACATAGGGAAATTAGGTACCCACTTCCCCTCAGGTAGCTTCCTCATCAACTCAGTAGGGTACCCCAGACACAGCACGTCATGCATTCAAGGAAGTGAAACTGTCTCAAAACAGGTGAGAAAAACTCAGGAAAACTCACCTGGAAGGTGCTAGAAAAAAAATCTGTGCTAACCATGCTGCTACCCTTATCTTAATTCTATTTGATCTCATATTTAGAAAAGGATAAAGGGAGAATAATTGCAGTATTGAAAAGTTTTCCTAGCAAAGAGTACAATATTTCCAAAGTACAGATCTCCAAACTAACATAAAAAATTATAAATAGGAGCATAAGCCTTTCTAAAAAGACCTCTGTGGAGGGAGACTTAGGGATTTCTGATTGGTTAGTTTACTCCTCCATGGGTAAAACGACTYACGTGTGACAGAAGATTGAAAGCCATGTAATGGTGAAACAGTGTTACAAAAAAAATTCCTGATTTGAACAGCTACTTTTTTTACCTTTCCTTGTGTTTTCAAAGCAATATTCTTCAAGCAGGGCACGAAAGAAAAGAAGTAAGGTTTAGAGAAAGCATCTTTTACATGCAGAAGTATGCATCAGGCTCACCAGACAGTGCAGAATGGTGAAAATATGCTCACTGAAACAATTCGTTCTAGCACAGGGTGATATTTAAGCAGCCACAGAACTTTGTGTGTGCCACTTCCAGYTGCACACACAAAAAAACACTAATTAAAAAATATGAATATGGATTTTTTCCCTGAACTTCTTATTGAATTAAGATTCTTGGAATCCAGATGTGTGCCTCTGAGATAAGTAGCACAAGTTTTTATTAAGATACTTCTCTGCATTTCCAACTTATGCAATACACCTGTAGTGTAGTACTGTCTAAAAGGGAAAAGTGACATTCCTATTTGTTTGAGCTGCTGACCYTGCTCAGGGAAGTGCCCTTGTGAGCAGTGATGCTGAGGGTGCTGGGTCTCAGTCTGCACCTGCTGTGTCCCCAATCTCCTTCCAGCCCACAGCAACGTTTCCATCACTCACGCTTGGGCCTCCTCCTCCATGTGTTTTCTTCAGGYTCTCCAAAAAAACCTTTCCTCATACAAACACTCATCTCTGAATTCTGTAACCTTTTACTGAAAATTTAAGCTATGCTGTACCGGTTTTTGCCTTGTACTTCAGACTCTAAAAATATGCCTTCTTTCACCTSCAAAGACTTTCCCGTTATTCCACACATGCTCCTGGCCAGTGCTGACAGATACACGAAGTGTGTGTGAGTTTTTAGCAAGCTTCACTTTTATTATTTCTTCAACACTGTTCTCTTTCCGTAGCACTTCTACCAAAAATACCTGCCCCGGGTGTCAAGTTCCATGTTTTACTTTGTAACAGCTTGGTTTCAGAACCATTTTCTTTCT